GTACTATTATGTGATATTTTTTATTTGACATTACTATTAAAAATCAAGATATTAGAATTTAGTTTTAATTATGGGTTAATGTACTTACTTTTTGATTGATGTGATTGATATTTTGATGATATCTCATATTGTGATATTAAATGTCATTCTTAATATACAGCTTTTGTTAAAGTGTTGATCAAATAAATGACACTGTTTATGCAGATATTTATATGATATTAATGGAATTCATAAAAAAAAGACATTTATTTTGATGAAACATGATCTGTTTCCCACTAGTTTAAAACTAATCAAATGTCTCAAATGCTTAATATACCTATATAGAAATTAACATGAATGCGGACCGTTTACAATTAAATATAAGTAATACTTAACATTAAATGATTAATACAACCATCATTAATTTACAAAACTATTAAAGCCCAGATTCAGATAACAACGTTGACTCCTATTAATAATTAACAGAACATTATCTAAGCAAAAAAAAAAAAACATTGTTCGCTACCCACACGTGAACTATATAAACCACAGATACCATATCGATGACATAATTTCCATATACTTGCACCCAAAAAACAGCACCAAGACATCATGATTCCTTTCAAAATAACAAAAAAAAAAAAAAAAAAAAAAAAAAAAAAACAACCCACATGTCTATTACAATTACCATCAAAAATTCTACAACGAATCATTATAAAAGCAACCAACAAAGATCACACCACTTTACAAGCAATACGGTTAACATAAGTTTTACTAAAAGCATCTTGTTTCATTAATCAATTGATTTAATAATATGCTTAGTCATACAGAAAATGATATTATACAAAATAGTTAAACATGCAACTAATAACAATAAGATAGTGGCTTATTCCACAGCAGTCTTATAACAATAATTATTAACCACACAAATGACTCTACCGAACCATGTGCATCTTTAGTTGTTAATAGTTTTCTAATACACAAAAAACAAAATGCATTTTAGGATCCATATTTAACTGAGTCATATTTGGCACACTTGTTTATTCTTAATTGCTTAATCATAAGGTAATGGTATTGTAATTCCCAACTATGGATTTTTTTTTTTTTCTTAACATTAAGAATCTTGTGCTTCGAAACCATTACTTACCATACAATTTACAAGTGCAAATCTCTGAACAAACAAGCAAACATAAAACAAAATTACAAAGAATGGACATTTCGAAACAACGACACAAACTGCCAATAATAACAATAGCAGGACTTTCAATTCTGAAGACACTTGTAGAAATAGAAAATAAACAAGCTTTGCTACTGCTGGGAACACATTTGTTCTTCATCGAACATGATACATAAATTGGATTAAAATTACTGATTGCAGTTTGTCAAAAATATAACATGCAAGCAATATATCACACTATCGTTGCTCTGCTTACTGTACATGACAATAGAGGTATACAAATTCTAATGAAATTAGTAAAACTAAGTAATCATTTCTACAAACTGAAATATTGCAGGGAAGAATTCAAGTCCCTGACTCCAACTGCAACAATTCTCATTAAAAGACGAATATTTGGGACTTGCAACAAGGAGAATCAAAATCGTATACACTGGGACAGATCAACATCACTAGAAAATATCGCATGCCATATATGTAACATGGATTATCAAATAGTCTGTATGAAATTTAATGTTTAGTAAGTTTCTTATGTAATTTCTTGCACATGTACAAATTTAAATGTTTTTTAGTTTAATCTGAAAATAGAAGTTAAAACTCACTCAATTATCTATGATTGATCCAAATATTTAATAACTTATAAAGAAAAATTGATCACAAAATTACTATGATCAGTAAAACGTAAATATAAAAATATTAAACACCAATGATTATGACAATTTCAAATAATTAAACATGTTCGACAAATAGCAAGCTAAATACTATTCCTATAACATATAAAAATAAATTTACATTCCATTATTCATTAGATTAAATTCTACACTGAACCAAAACATATTTTGGAAACCCGCTTGTCGATCCATTGTTAACTATTTATTACGCTCTCTTTTAATGCGCCACAAACAGTTTTGCTACCGTTTTGTATCTTATCGCGCAATAAGTTATCAACACATTTTCAATCAATGTGTCTATCTATTACTAAATGTCTATTAATTTTCCTGAAGCAACTTTTATATTGTGTGATACAATACCCATAAATTGTTCAAACATTCTCGCATAAAAGATGAGTTCAAATTTATTCCCTCTATTTATTTCCTATTTCCATTTACATAAAACAAGTCAAGATATATTCTAATGTGAAGTAACAAAATTGTTTAATATTTTAATAGATATTTAATAACAATATTAGACAAAACTCTTTATAAAAATGTTAAAAAATTGAACATATTCAACAAATATCAATCTAAATATATTATAATCTTAATTAAAAAAAAAACTAGAAATAACCATTTCTATTACAGATTTAAAAAAACTTTTTTAGCATTATTGATCAAATAAGATCAAAGTCGAACTATATGTATGTTTCATAACCATATTGCCGAACTACAATTAAAAAATTAATAAATATATTATGACATCATCCTATCATCTCTGACTTTGATACTTGACAAAATATTTATTGTCCATCATTTAAAAATGTATCACTAAGATTTTATTATTAGTAAATCACAGTGTTTATTTATCATAATAACTCAACATCTTACCGAACCATCATTAACTACCTAACAAATATGTTGCACACTTAACAAAATATTTATTACGGTTTTCTTTAATATTTTACCGATAGTCTACTAACGTTTCGTATTACCTTATCCAAATAATTATTAACACTTTTTCGATCGACACGTTTATTTATTACCAGATGTCTATTCATATTCCATCTTTTCATATCCTATTCTCCTATAAATATTGCTCTAACATCAATCACTCATTTAACTTTCTTCAGATACTATACACTTTAATTGTTCCTTTCTTCTCTACAACTTAATTTGAAAATGGCTAACGAAACATCACAACCAAAAGAATATGCAACGAATACCAACAACGACCTCAACAACAATAATTCTCCACCGAGGCAACCAGAATCTTCATATAATCAGGTGTATTCATAAAGATAAATTAACAATTCAAATTACATTGCATCAGCTCAGAGGTTGTCCCCCCATTTGTTTAACTTTTCCAACCATATCCTTTCCAATCCAGTGAAATATATATTTGTTTTAATATTGGCTATTCAATTCAAAATTCAATCATATTCTATTCAACTCAAAACATTAACAATTATTTTTCTCAATAAAAGTTTATAAATTAACAAAAACACACCCACCTACACAACTATTGCTGACAGTCGGCCACCACCATCGGACGGCACATCTTTTGTATCCTAAATTACAAAATGTCAAACAAAACGATGATACATATTTGCGGGAATATAAAAACCACTAAAAAAAAATTTGATATGTCGATAGTTCATCTCATAATTATATTTACACATTTATGTTATTGTTTCCATATATTTATAAAATTTGATTGTATATTGTTTCTGCAATTGGTTTAGACATTTTTCAGGGAATGCCAGAATTGAGGGAGATTTTAAAAAAAGTTGACACCAATCTGGATGATCTACATACTGCAAGAGACAAATTCAAAAAAATCATTGACCAGATGTTACAAATCATAGAATCTACCATGGATATTACTTATAACATAAACAAGAGAGAGTATGCATATGTACTAGAAGAACTGAACAACTGTAAGAAAAATAGAAAATAAAGTCTATATCATCCAAACCACTTCACAATATGAAAAAGCGATGTACTTATTTTTTTTTATAATAAAAGTATTATTCTCTATATTCAATTTTATCTTGATTTTGGTGTTACTCATTAATTGATTGAAAATTGTTCTACATCATAACACGTTAGTTTTGATTTAATTCTTCCATCTTCACACATTGAATGAGTATTAATAATAATTATATAATTACATTACATAGGCATTCCAAAAATCTAACCATTTTAAAGAAAAACATATAAAGATGAAAGTTAGTCTGTTTTCAAACCTTGGCTGGAAAGAATCCTATACTGTGAGAAAAAAAATTTACCAGTCAATGTCAAACCTGAAAATGAACTCAATAAAAAATTTAAGTTTACATAATTGATCTTCATAATATTAATTGATATTAATAATTATAAAGATACAATTATTAATTTTATCTTAACAATATATATATATATATATATATAGAAGTTATATTTACTCTAAAACTTGTATAATTTAACAATTATCATCTCTCAATCTAATTACCTTATTTCTGTTAGAATAAATTTGTTTATATCTTATTTCAAAAATATTAAATAAATATATACGCGATGTCAACTTAATTAACGGGTCAACGGATTAGGTGGAGGTTAATTTCCAGGAGCTTTCTGGAAAAATGGATAAATTAGATATGGAATGTGAGTAATAAATTAAGGGACATCTAGAAATTGCAAAAGACAATGAAGAAAGCACTGTTTCACGGAAAAAGGAAAAACAACCACTGATCAGAGAGAACGAATCCAAGCTTAAGCTTTTCAAACGCATGATCTTTATTCTAATTTTAAGATAACATTTATAAAACTGCTTGAAAAGAGGTTTCGTTAAATTAATTTTGTAGCATGAGAACTTACCGCTCACTCTTATAGCTCGACTGAAAGCAGCCACCATCTCAGAATATATATATATAGAAAATATTATATTTGATTATCATGAACAATCTGCAACTTAATTACATGATATATCCCACGTATTTCTCAAACCCTAGCTAAACGTGCGCAGGACTCGAGAAACCCTAAACACGTACAGTCATTAATCATGGTTTTCATATTACTTATAAGATCAAGCTCTAATTAAACATCTGATTTATGGGAACAAAAGCCCTTATTTCAAGATTCAAGACAAGGGAATATATATATCTCCCCAGAGAGTTTGGGAGATATATATAAAATATATATAGAAAGTAGGATCACTTGTTATCTGACTTGTCTTCGAACAGATACCCAAGAGATGACACTCCACCTGGAGCTGACTGAACCTTCGTTGATGGACGATCCTAAACAGAATAGCAAACATAATTTTTCAAAAGTTAAGAGATTGAAGAAAACAAAGAGAATAAGAAATCATATAACATATATTAAGTGGTTGGTGATGTGTTCGAACTCAAGTGTCTTTTTCTGATTAATTTTCCAAGTTCCTCCATTAGAAGAGTTTCCTGGGATTACTCACAGTAAGGAAGTTGCCGGAGTTTTGCCCTTGAGCTCTGTGATGATTGTTAGAGACCTTCGGTTTCTTCGATGATGAATCATTTGGGGCTTCCTTAGTGCTGTTATCATCAGTACACCATGGTGCTTTGATCACTGTTACTGGGGAGGCCGGAGGTTGGGTTGGCTCCTGATCAGAACCAAACAAGTAACCAAGCGAACTCTGCCCACCGCCATAGCTTCCACGTCTACTCATGTTTATCCTAATTAGTTCTTCATTCAGCACTGACTACCAAGAGACTCCAATATATATAGAAGATAGATACATTATATGATTTGTGGATGTTATTTATTTAGCCACATGTATATATGCATGTGTATTACATTAAGATATGATCATCTCTTTTTTGAGTTTTTAATTGAACAAATATAAGAATTCATATCGATATTAATTAATTAATTTACACGTGACATCATATCTTTTTTTAATAGTTCCAAGAATTTATATTGGAGGAGAGGATATGTATGTAAATTTAATTATTTTATATACGTAGTATATATTGTGTGATAGTTTTATAAGGAAACATGCATGCATGATGTGCCTTGCTATACGATTTCATACATGTGAGTCGATTGGGACTGATTGATAATACATGCCATGATTATCTTCTTTTTTTTTTTTTTTTTTTTTTTTTTTTGTTTCAAGAATGAAAGTAATTCATTCACAAGCGATAGAGGAGGGTATTGATATGACTGGACGTGGAATTTTTTATGATCAAAGGTGTCTGGACCAGTTTACGCGCATCTCAATTAATCTCTTAAAACCTTGGAACTACCAGTCGAGTAAGAGTTCTAGTGGTTACCCCTATTAGCAACCAAAGAGCGGATACTCGAACTCATGATTTCTTAAGTAATACACTTAAGAATTCCTATCAAACCACTCGGTCACTTAAAGGTAGTTTACCATGGTTATCTTCATGTGAACGTAGATACATTTAATTATAAGGATTTCATATATCATGATATTTGCATACATTAAAATGTGATTCTAAATGAATCAGCTCTACTTTCTTGGAAACCGAGGATAGCTGGAATGTGACCCCAAATAATTCATTAGAGCCATCTGACTTTAAAATAGTAAGGATACCATTAACATTTTGTAAATATGTAACACCCACATGGAGGTACATAATTTAATTTATGTTCTTATTCCTTTAGTTGATTTTTGCTAAGGTTATTTTAAGGAAAATGTGAAGAAAATGCCTTAAACTTGTATTAAGGGTAAAATGGTCTTTTCACTCAAAATTAGTTGAAATTGTGGAGAGTGAAAAGAGATAGAATTTCATAGAGAATGCAATAAAAATGAGAGTATTATGGTAATTGATTAAGGGACATAGATGAAATTTTAAAGAAAGTGCAAGGGCAAAATGGAAAACTATATATAATTTTTATGTTATATCAAATTGAAGAGTGAAACCCCAACCACTCTTACCCATTTGCACGCCACTTTCACCTCCATATTCTCTCAAATTCTTCAATGCTTCTTCAAAGGAAATTCAAAAGTTTTTGGTGTTTTTGAGTGGATTTTCAACCTTAAGCTTCTATAGGTAAGATCCTTGCACTAAGAAGTGAATTTTAGTTTTTAAAGTGTTGATTTTGATAGTTTATGCTCATAGGATTTAAGAGGAAGAGAGTTTGATCAAAGGAGATTCTTAAAGGGTTGAATTTGCTCATATCAAAGGTAAGTAAATCCTACCCTAAGTATGATTTAAGTTATGTTGTGTAGAGAACTTTCTTTATGCATATATATATGTGTTATATGTAAAATTATTGATGGATTTGCTGTTGAATAATGATTAGAACCTATCCATGAGAAGTTGTGTTGGTGTAGTTGTTATTTGATGAATGTTTGGATGAGATTTGGAAGAATTGAAGTGAAAATTTTGAAGTGTGTATTTGGGCAGATTTGGTGTTAATTATGGAGGAGTTTATTCCAAATTTTTGGTGGCCTAAAATAGAGATAAAAGTGTAACCAAATTAGTGTTGATTTGTGCACATGAATTGTTTGATGAAATGCCAAGGAGAAGTGCATGTATGAGTATGATTATGTGTTACCTTGGGATGTGTTTGTAGATGGTAGAGAAGGACTTGTTTGCATTCCATAATGCATAATTGCATTTAAATATATGAAGTTAGAAAGAATTATAAGCATGAAACCATCTACATGCATACATATTCATAAGAGCATGAAAATGCCCTAGAATATATTAAAGAGAAAATAGAAAGAAATGAGAATATTAAAGATATTCAAATCTGAATTTTTCTTAAAGAAGTGTAAAAAAAAAAAAAAAAAGAAGAAGAGAAGGTTGTTGCGATAAGGAGCCGTGAGTGACATAGTCCCACATGCACGCTGTCTTTAGTAAGCGGCCTCAGAATTCAGAAAGAAGAAATGTACAGTCCGTTAGAAGTGTGTGTGGATGAGGACTGTACCCAGAATTAGAGAATTCACTCACACGACCAAGGCTCCAAATCCATGCCTCAACCGAGTCCAATCGGCAAGAATAGAAAGAAAAAATAGAAAAGAAAGAAAGAATAGAAAAGAAAGAAAAAATAGAAAGAAAGACTAGAAAAGAAATAAATAAATAAAGAAAACAGAATAAGAAAAATAGAAAAGAAAATGCATAATTTATGCATTTGTGCATTTGCATCATGAGTATGCATAATACCATGCTCATTATTATGGGTAGTGAAAAAATTAGAAAACAGAGAGCAAAACAGAGAAAGAATAGAGAAAGAACAAAGAGAAGAACAGGGAAAGAATAGAGAATAATCGGGAAATGTGATGTAAGGAAAGAAAATTTGGAATTTTAAGCAACGGAGAGAGAGAAGGGTAACATAGTGGGTTTACTTATTGAGTCATTAGTGCTCACTCCATTGTTTTTAATGTTTTGCAGGTAATAGGTGAGTTGCGATCGCTCGGAATGTCACGCAGTGGAAGGGTCGGGCTACACTGTCAAGTTGCTATTTTTTAGAATATTTTTTAAATATTTGTATATAAAAAAAAAAAAAATAGGGACTCATACTTTATTACTCGTATATATATGTGTATTTTCTTATATATATTTTTAATGAGTTTTAGTGATTATTTTACGAGTATACTAGCTAAAAAGAAAGCATTACAAAATATGATCGAATACTTACCTTGAAATATCATAATCTATCTTATTGTCAATTATGTTATAATATCGCTCAACTTCTCAACTTTTCAAATGGTATATTAAAATTTTCTATCTCAAGTGATATTATATTCTATTAAACATCATTTTATCATTTATTATTACATCGTCTCATTATTTACACATCAATATTATGTAAAATGAAACATCAATTTGAATGTGAATTTAAGGTTTAGGGTATGATGTCATTAATGAGTTTTTCACCTTAGTCCAAGATCGAGCCTGCGACTTGGTCTCTGAGTATGACATTCTTCCTCAATCTAGAGCCATCTGGCGCCTGCCAGACTGATTTTGCTTTATTTATTTTTTTTAAAAGTCTATGTGCTCCTTAGGGCGCCTTTGCCTTTGCCTCATTTGTATAGAGTCTGCATGCTCCCTTAGAGCACTTGTGTTGTGCCCAACTTTTTGTCTTGCGTGTTGAAAAAAAATGGGCACATCCGCTTTGGTCAGTTCTGACCTTCTTTTGAGGTATAACCCTTGTATTTTGTACATTTTTCTTTCTTTTATACATATTTACCTTTTCAAAAAAAAAAAAGGTTTAAGGGTTTTATTACATCATCTCATTATTTAAACATAAAAAACTTAAACAAATCAAAAGAAATAGAAAAAACATAATTAATAGTATTTGAACTCGAAGATGGCGCAAAGATTTTAATTTTCTCGATATTGCGAATTGATTCAGCATGGTCTTCCTTTAGGTAACAATTTTGCAGTACATATGCATAATATATATCTTTGCAGCACATTCGTTGTTGTTGTTGATTTTTTTTTTTTTTTTTTTTTTGTTCTAATTTATAGAAGTATCGGCTCTTATATTTTGCATGACTTTGTACTGTATATGCGCACTGCACCATTTTATCTTTGGAAATATATTTATTCTTCTGTTTTTAACTAAAGTCCTTAATCAACTTGCTTCTACCTCCTTGTTCATTGAAAAAGCAATTCAGATTAAAAAGGGAAATTCAGATGACGGTAACTGAAGAGTGATCTTGTTGATCGATTATGGCATTATGCTATTAGAGCTTTCTGTTGTAGCTAGTTTCACAGAATACATGTCACTCATATATTAATAAAATTAGAATGCATAGCATCATTATTCATTCTTTTGCAGTTTCCCTACTGATTCATAATATCAAATATTCTTATATATTATATTTGTTAGGTCAATCTACGGCCAATCCAAAAAGCTTAGCGGCTGCTTACCTATATGTGACTTTGATGAAATGACTGAGAATTAAGCCAACAAAAAAAGCATCCCATGAAAATCTCGAGTTGGATTCGGTTTAACATCACCATCGTGAGGGCTCATCAAGCCATTAGCCCTAAAGCAATTCTGATTAATCATGACTGGAAATGTGATCTGATCTTGTACTAAGATTCTCGTTTGGTGGGATCTCACATCAATCTACATGACTATATCTATCATGAAAAAGAATTTTGCTGGATAAATGTCTGAGTAATTATCTTTGTCATGGAAAAGAATCCAATTCTTAAAAATTATCTTCAAATGTAGGGAGAAAGAGAAGCTTGATTGACCTAGTAAAGCAATTGGACCCCTCATGTCTTATAATTCTTAAAGAAAGAAAAAGTTGAAAAGCAAGAGCATCTAGGGTTAGGAAAATGCTTGAAAGCCAAAGAAATGGCACTTTTAATTTCTGTATATATTTGACACTAGAAAGGACGTGCATATCTATCAGCCTCAAAATTTTCATATCTCCTTGGTAGTCATGCGTTATTTCTGGTACGAATTGGAGTTTCATTATTCCTATGTGGTTCGCTTTAGCTATCATAAAAGGTGGTGATCCAAGCTAGCTACCTAGCTTTAGTTTATTTGTGATTTCCCCTCATGGAAGACATCAAATCAGAGGACCTGAGATTGAACAAAAAGGAAATTAAAATGGCTTATAATTGCATGTGATGATATATTATGCCTGGCACTTTTACCCGCAGATGCCGGATCTCACTGTTATGTCAATGGCCTATGGAGAAATTAATTAAAGGGGCATAAAAATCTAGATTCCAAAAACACAAAAGGAAATAAAAAAAATTAATTCAGCAACAATGCTTGCTTACAATTGAATGGTTTTGTTCTACTCTTTCTTTTTTCCTCTTTTCCTCTTCTTCGTTTTATTTCTTTAGTAGTGCGAAGCATGATAATTAAGGCTAAGCATATTCAATATGCATTGAACTTGGGGAGAAAAAGGATACATGTTTAATTAGAAATGCTGTGCGTGATATTGAACACTAAATGTGGAAGTCACCCCACCCGCATTATCTTCCTTTTGTTAATTAAGGTTGAATCAAAATCTTTCATTCGTACTAAACTATCCGCCAAAGGACTCTAAACCAACAATGGAAATAGCTAGAAAGAATAATATGATACAATACCCACCCATGGGTAACCCATCAGTAAGGGCAAACCAAGGGGGTTGTGCATGGCTTTAACCCACAATCTCAGATTCGATTCTATGTTGGACGCAAAGGTAATACCTTTGTCTATGATTTACTTGGAGGGTCACAATGATGGGTTGTTGTGCTTTAATGTTTAGTGGAAGTTATTTTTGTGGAAAACAAATATTTGAATGTAAACTAGTCCTCATGCACAAAACCAAAAGGATTAAAGCCAATTTACCAAATCTGAATTTAGAGAGAGCTAAACATGCTTAGGATGAAAAACCCACCTAAACATACCAAAACTTATTTTATAATACTGAGAATTGGTATTAAAACCTAGAAAAATTTTATCTTGGGCCTAAAACAGCTGGGTCAATGTGATCCAGCCCATTTTCCAAATATGGGCTTGGAAGTTCTGGGCCTTAGGGAACTTCATGATCACCAACAAAATGTCAGTATCAGTTAAAGTGCAAGAATCTTGGTGAAGGGCCCCCAGACCACCGCCTGGTTTCCATCTAGAGAGATTAATTTTGTTTTGTTTAATATCATTTAATATAATCTAATATCGCCAAGGTCAAATTAAGTCAAAAATCAATTTCAGTTCGCACCAACTTCATCAATTGATTTTCTTTATGGTCAAATCAAATTAAATAACAAAAATCTCTTTTGGGTCATACTGGGACTGGGAGAGAACCAATCTGCAAAGCCAAGTGTAATTCCGATGAACTGAAATGTTGACACGCAGCTGCCAAGTATCTGATTGGACCAATAATGTGGCAGACAATAATATCCGAAAAAAGGACAGTGGTAGTTAGCGATTGAAGTGGAAGCTACGTGGCATACTTCATAAGCGCGTGATTGTATAAGCTAAAATCCAGAGCTTGAGTTTATAATGTCAATTTCGAAACATTTGCTTTGCTGTCGATTCATAGCCTTACCTACGGTCGCCCATCAGCCTCACGTTTTTCTGTGTCTACTTGACACTTGTCTTCCTACTCGTGTCCACATGCCCTCGTTTTTCATCGAAATTACACCAATGCCACCGTTCCAAATACAACCTAATTTTCGGTTGAAGTGGTTCGTAATAGTAAAATCAAAATATTATATTATCCAATAATCACATTTTTTTATGCCATAGACTTCAAGTTCTCATTAATCACATTTTATTACCCATCCATTGCAATGTTTGTTAAACGTAAGGTCTTCATTTTCTTAAAATTAAATAACATCCTCCACTTTTTACAAAAGCACTCATATTAGGAAGTTTTGATGGTAGTAAAAAGGAAAAAGTTATAGATAATAAAAAGTACGTACATAAATTGGATCTTAGATTTATAAAAATATATCAATAAAATCATCCAATAGTTTAGGACTGTTTGGCTTATTATTTTTATTTGTATTCTGAAACCGATTTTTCCAATAGTGTTTGGCTTATTATTCAGACAATAGAACTTTGAAAATTTGATCCTGACAGTTTGACGTGTACAGTTTGCAGCTTTCTTCTCTCTATTTGTATTTCATTTTCTCAGTTTTCTTCATGCATTTGTGTGTCATTTTTAGTTTTCTTCACTGTATTGTGTTTCATTTTCTAGTTTTCTTCACACCGTGAACCACCACACCGTAAACCACCCCACACCACCAGATCTGTCGCACATTTATCGTGAACTACCCCCCACGCGAACCATGTCGTAGTTGTTATGGAGTATACATGTAATAATGATTGTAAGGGTTGATAATTAGTACTTTTGTCATATATGTATTAGTGATGTTTTTAAACAGTTGGATTAGTACTTGAAATTAATATAGGTTTTTGTTTTTTAATTATACGGGTGACAAATTACCAATAAAATTTTAGTATTATTAAAATGTAACTGATAAATATATATATAATATACATAATTTTATCAAAATGCAATAAAATATATATTAATAAATCATTTATAAGAAATATATTAATCAAATATTCAACACAAATATTAAGGTCAAAATACTCTATTAAACACATATTTGTAAATCATATTCTCGTAATCATAACCCTATCTAACTATCTAATACTATCTTCAAAATTCTATCCAAAATATAAATCAACGCACCTTTAGATTTTTTGGGTAATTGACAAGTGGTATTAAATTAATTCTAGGGTTTCATTCGTAATATGGGTTATTAAATAAAAATAAAAAAAAGGAGTGAGTTAGTCCACCATCTAAGTTCCCTAAACTGATCAAATAAGTTAGTCAAAACTAAAAATGTGTCAAGGGTAAGTTCTATCAATAAATCACCACCTAAAAAACCAACCAAAAGTGAGTTGTACTAGTACCAACTGGGTTTAAGTGTCATCACCCGATTGAATTAGAAAAATAAATATGAATTGTATTTTAATTAGAAAAGTATATAAACACCACCATTATTAACAGGTAAGTCTAGGGAGTTGGCAATACAATATACTAAGTTTTTTCTCTTTTTTGTGGTCTCTAGAGACTATGAGAAAATTTATACGAATCTCAGTTAGTTTATAAGAACACTAAAATTAACGGTTAGATAAAAATATAGTAGTTACTCCTTATTAATAATCAAAAAAATTCGAAATCAAAAATTTTTAAGTAATAAAAAAAAGAGTTTTCAACGAACTGTCAAACTAATTAGAGGTAGTTAATAATATACTAAGTTGACACTCAATCCAAGAACAATTGGATTTGTTAAATTATTTCGGTTATATCCTATAAATGAATATAAAACCTTAACTCAAAAAAAAAATAATATTCAGTTTCAGAAAGTCAACTATTTTGGTCAACCATGTCACTCTTGTAATTTAAGTGATAAAGGATGGCCTTTTTGTTTCTCTTTCTCTTTCTCTTTAACCAATGGCGTGTTATTTTATACCTTAAAGCTTCTTACGCAGAAGTTGTGGTCTCTACCCATTTAACCTCCAGTCCAAGCGAGGAGACCTTGCTGTCTACACTCCACGCCATTCGCTCTCTCGCTTTTGCTCAAGCGAGTGCTTCTATAAAAGAAAACTGAGCTCCTTTCAAGTCGGTTATAAACCAGCCATGGCGGTCGGTTTATCCGCCACCATAGTCGCCAAACCATCCCGTTTCTTCCACACCCCTCATCTTTTCACAAAAACCACACCTCTTCTTGCTCCACCTGGTTACCGCAACTTTTCTAAGGGGCCTAGAAGAACAACTTCTACTTTCACGGTTTGTTTTGTTCTAGAGGAGAAAAAACAAACTACCCAGATCGAGAATTTCAGGGAAGCGAATGAGATCACCTCTAACGATATGGATATTCAGATCTCAGCTACTCGCGTGGCTGAGAAGTTGGCGAGGAAGAAATCCGAGAGGTTTACTTATCTTATTGCTGCTGTCATGTCTAGTTTAGGAATTACTTCCATGGCTGTCATGGCTGTTTATTACCGGTTTTCTTGGCAAATGGAGGTAGAATACTTAATTTATTCTCCGAGTTAACAAACACTCTTGCTGATATTTATATATATTAACAATCGGGTTGTTTTTAAATAGGGTGGAGAGGTTCCATTTTCTGAAATGTTTGGCACATTTGCTCTCTCTGTTGGTGCTGCTGTGAGTTCTCTGTTCCATTTTTCTCTCTCAATCTTGGAAATTATGATGAAAATTTTGGTTTTTTACAAGAATTGCGTTCTTCTATTTCAAAATATTCAGGTGGGTATGGAATTTTGGGCAAGATGGGCTCATGAAGCTCTATGGCATGCTTCTTTGTGGCATATGCACGAGGTATGCTTCTTCTTCTTCCGGCTTTGTAACCTACCAAGAATTTCAAGTATTACTTTTCTGGGAAACCAATCAGTTTTTGATTGTTGAATTGCAGTCTCACCATAAACCAAGAGAAGGGCCTTTTGAGCTCAACGATGTGTTTGCAATTATAAACGCGGTTCCAGCCATAGCTCTTCTCGCTTATGGCTTCTTCCACAAAGGCCTGGTTCCTGGTTTATGTTTTGGTGCTGTAAGTTCCCTTTTCTTTCCTGTGTCACACTTTAATCATTATCTTTATCATATGTAATAATACTTGATTAACGGCTTAATTGTTAATTAATGAATTGCACATGATTTTTGGAAGCAGGGTCTTGGCATTACAGTTTTTGGTATGGCCTACATGTTCGTCCACGACGGTTTGGTTCACAAAAGGTTCCCCGTAGGTCCCATCGCCAACGTGCCTTATTTCAGAAGAGTTGCTGCTGCTCACCAGGTAAATACAAAATTAAACCTTTTTTAATTATCTTTTAACCATTTTTATATTAATGTATAATCCTACACGATCTTAACGACCAAGATTTTGTTTTGATTTAAAATTTTTGGCTTTAGCTCCACCACTCGGAGAAGTTCAACGGTGTCCCATATGGCTTGTTCTTAGGACCTAAGGTACATCTCCCTCGTTATTATTCTTTTAAAGTTCAATTTTGATATTTGGTTTTAACTTTATGTGGTTTTGTTTTGCAGGAAATTGAAGAAGTAGGAGGCCTAGAAGAATTGGAGAAGGAGATCAGTAGAAGACTCAAATCATACAACAAGGGTTCAAAATAATAAAACAATGAGGACCCATTTTGGATCTATTTTGATTTTGATCAGTGTAGAGAATAACAATAGAGCATTAATGAGAAATGATTTTGAGTTTACTATTGTGTTTATGTCAAACAAAGCTACATGTTAATAGTTATACAATATATAATACAGAGAATATGGGACAATCAGTATTAGTTTCCCACTCATAAAATATTTAGTTAAAACCATTAAAATGTGTGCTTGTACAAATCTAAAAAGTGATTAAGAGAGGAAATTATTATTTAGTGATGATAGGCATGCCTCTTATCCAAAATAACTTTCCTTTTTCGTTTTCTTACTACTGTATTTAGAATTTAATATAACTTATATTTCAGTAAAGTAATTAGGTTGAATAGATGATCAATTAAAATTTAACAAAATGGGTATAAAAGATGAGGAATTTAAAAATCATATAATTATAGGCATAACGGTTGTAGGTATGAAATTAGATTATTGTTCAAAGTTAGGCCAATGTAATTGTATCGTCCTGTCAGGTAGGACGAGGGAGGCCCCCCTGATTCAGGAATTGCCGCTTGGTAACTTATGGTTGCTTCGCAAACTTCACATCACCATTTGTTTAAAACGACAAACCATACAGCCGTGTTTGTACAAGAGAACAACAAGCACAACACAACCGTGTTGATGCTGTAAAGCAACTTCAAATGACCCTTGAATTGATGATGAAATAATTTCAAGCTTTTAATGCTTTTCTTTATCCATTTTAAATAAAATATATGAATACATTATACAAATACATACAAAAAGGAAACCAATAGGTCTATAAAATTGATAATATAGTTACTTCCTATTAAATTCTCCAATATATTTTTTCTGTTGATATAAAAAATCGCACCAATTAAAAGTATGCAAGATTTTTTGATGAATCAACACAAGATTCTGTTTAAGCTTCATGGATTGAATACTAGATTGAATGTATAATAATCGAACACAATCACACAGAACAAAGAGATTTTTAAAGTAATTGGAATGTTTATAATGCAAGTCTTATGGCGAGTTGATTTACAAAGAGTTATTTTAAGGATTCCATCAGGTTCTCTCTCAAGCTCTATGCGAATAAATCTCAGTGTGTGTGATATGCACAATGACCCTTATGTCATGTCCCTTAAACAAGAGTTTGAGTTTATATATTGTACCCATTACAAGTTTGAGTTGAAAATAAATACATAATCAACAAAACAAGAAATTAACTCGATCTTCCCTCTTGATTCGCGCAGATTTTATCGCATGATATCTCCTAACCGAATTGAGAATTATCCTTTTATGATTCACGGCACAACTTTTCCAAATATTTTTTTCTATAATTATGAAGGATATATAATACTTTTTATTAAACGGGTCATATTAAACGACCTAATTATATTGAAAACGGTGGCGATGGACCACATAAAGTCCACATTTCTATAGTTACTTAATAAAGGATGAAACCAAAATTGATTTGCTGACAGAAAATATATAGAATTTGGAGGTTAATTTAATTGGAATTTATAATTGAATAACGTACGTAACTACGTATAATTATAAAACTCCCTCCTCCGCCTCCGGTACTCTTAAAAAGACAAAACTCCAAGCAAATTTCAATAAAAAAGAGTCCAGTCCTACAAGACACAAATGAGTTGACTCCCTCCACAAAACGCAAAAGCTAAGTTGGGATGATGACACGAGAGTCCCCATTATATTTTTTTTAATTTGCTTCATCATGAACCTTCTCTGGTACATAATTTCAAGCTTTTAATGCTTTTCTTTATCCATTTTAAGTAAAATATATGAATACATTATACAAATACAGACAAAAACAAAACCATTGGGTCTATAAAATTGATAATATCATAACATAATTACTTCCTATTAAATTTTCTAATATTTTTTTTCTCTGTTGACGTAAGAAATTGCATCAATCAAAAGTACGCAAGATTTTTTATGAATCAACTGAGAAATTTGCTTGAGATTTGTGGATTTAATGTTGGACTAAAAGTATAATAATCAAACACAATCACATAGATCAAATGAGTTTTTTAAATGGTTCAAATGCTTAAAATGCAAGTCATAAATCTCAAGAATTCTCTTAAGTTCTCTCTTCTCTCAAGCTCTATGTGAATAAATCTCTCTGCGTGTATGTCCCTTAAACAAATTAGAGCTTTAGGTTTATATATTATACCCATTACAAGTTTGAATTGGAAATAAATACAAAATCAACGAAATTAACTTGATCTTCTCCCCTTGATTTGCGGAGTTTTTATCATAAGAAATCTCCTAGCCAAATTGGGAATATCCTTTCTTGATTCACTGCACTATAAAATACTTTTTTTTATATATATAAAGGATAAATAATTTTGAACGGGTCATATTAAAGGATTTTATTATATTGAAAACAGTGGTGATGGACCACATAAAGCCCACATTTCTATAGTTAATTAAGGATGAAACCAAAATTGATTTGGTGACAGAAAATATATAGAATTAGGAGGTTAATTAATTGGAATTTATAATTGAATAACGAACGTATAAAACTCCCTCCTCCGGTTCTCTGAAAAAGACAAAACTCCAAGCAAATTTCAATAAAAAGAGTCCAGTCCTACAAGACATGAGTTGACTCCCTCCACCAAACGCAAAAGCTAAGTTGGGATGATAACACAGGAGTCCCCATTATAATTTTTTCAATTTGCTTCATCATGAACCTTCTCTTGTACATAATTTGTCTGGCCGTGGGCAAAGGGCGACGTGGAAATCTTATTATAATTCATCTTCTCTAATACAAAAAACCTAACATTAGTGGTTCATGCACTCGCTTTTTTTTTTTTTCCCTCCATTGACTAAGATTTCCACTTATAAAAAATAGTATTGTTTTAGTGGGTTTTGCATTGTATCGTGTCAAAATTTGAGGAAACATCCCACGTAAAAGTTCCATTAATAGTTTTACTTTATAATAAAATAGGTCAAAGATAAGAACGGGGATCGTCTTCATCCGTTTATCTGAAATTTTATTGGCTCCGACACGACACCCCAAGTGCACAGAGATATTATAATTAATTTTCACATTGATTGAAATTGACCTTTACCGAAAAAGTGCATGAAAATGCCACCAATTATTCCAAGTAATTTTGATTGTAATTGTATTGCCTTGCCTAAAATAGTCAAATGACGATCCACAGAGGAATTAAGTTTTATTTATTTATTTATATATTTGGAGCCAAAAGTCCGTTTCCTTTTGAGCTACATTAAATTACTAGTTCTAGAAAACAAAATCATATCGTTTGATGCCCATTGATTGAGAGGGGGATACACACGTGTGATTTAATTCTACAATTTTGATTGAGTTTTTAGATTAATTTAAATAGGAAAGTATATAAAATTTGTATAATTTAGAGAATCCAAATTAAAGGAGATTTCCTCCACCGCCAAAGTAGGCCCCCACAACAGTAGATGTAGGGTTCGGCCCATATTAGCATTTCTTTTGCTTTATACAAGTCATAATCCAACATCAATCAAATTTTAACAAATCACGTGTTCATCTAGAACTATAAGCATAGGTTATAGGTAGAGACGTAAAGAAGAGATATTTAGATAGGGAATATAAGATTGGATTTTATTTTTTAATGGTAGGGTATATGAGCCAGTTTACACGTATCTCAATTAATTTATTAAGACCTTGAAACTATCGGTTAGATAAAAGTTTCAGTAGCTAACTTTATTAGAGATTGTATAGACTCGAACTCATGAAACTATATTAGATCATTTTTTTTTTCATCTTTTGTCATTAAGGGAATTCATATTTAAAAGACTATGTTAGATTTTCTTTTACTTTTCCATCATCCTATCTAGTGGTTGTTGATTTTTTTTATTATTATTTTTTACATTAACATTGGGGAAGCATCTTTTACTCTCAATCAAATTGATTAATATTCCCTACCTATAAATGTATTTTATTTATTTATTTTTTTTTGACAAGTTTAACTTTAATGATATAATAATTTAACCTTGAATGCAAATTTTCTAAATCATTGAAACATTTTTTTTTTTAAATTTCAAATAATTCTTTGCTTGATGGAAAACATTACTAATTCTATACAGAAAGTAATCACACAAAGGAATGAATGTAAATCTAAATCTAGGAAGGAAAAAAGGGTATAAACCAAAATCTAATTAAGAAATAGGAGGAAAATAGTGTTAAAAAAACACCTAATTAAGTTAGAAATTGGGGAAAAGTAGTATAATAAAAAACCCTAAAGTTTAAAATTTGGGAAAAAAAAAGATATAAATAAAAATCCTAATTAAACAGGGTTATTTTTTATATTAAACGAGGTATAATAGAATTTTTTAAAATATAATAGAGATATGTATTTAATAAGGGAGGATAATAATCAATTTGATTTATGCAAAAAAATCACTTTCCCACTTTCTCCCTTCATTTTAGTTGTGGATTAGGATGGGAAGTTAACTGCTTATCTGGGCCTTCCTAAAACGACCCAAGAGGTTTCTATATTAACGCAGGCATCGGCTTAGGCTTGGGCTCGGACATGAAAATCGTCTATTTTTAAGTTCGATCTGTAACCCCCTAGAATGGTAGATGCACTTTATTATGGTACACTTCTATGTATAAAAGTGCATTAGCATTTAGCACTATATATATATTTGCATGATACTCTTAAAAACTTGATTAAATAATTAATTCATAAATAAAAATTTTCAAATATTTAATTATTAAAAAATTGGTTTGTATAAAAAAAAAATATATATTACTTGAGAATTTAATAAGTTCTGGACCGAACTCAATATAGTTTTTTTGGCAAGAGAAAAACATAATATTACACATACAATATTTCTCATATAATATTATGTGATAAAAGATGATTGGGTGAAAATTTATTTTTAATTTAAAATCAGACAATCATATTTTACCATATAATGTTATATGAGAAACGTTGTATAAAAATATTGTATTAGTAGTACTACTTAAGGAAAAATATCTTATATGGCCCCACATTAAATAAGTTGATCAATATCGTACGTACGTGATTACCTTGTTGAAGAAGGACCTACATCCATCTAACCTGAT